TGGTCAGGGCCGGGAATCCTGACATATGTCTTCTGGTGGCGTAGTCACCATTCTTATGTAGGTTGCTGTTCCAAAAATTGCGCTGGTGATATCAGAATATAGCGATTTTGAAGGAAACGTTCGGGGTCGTAAAAGTCCACGTTGGTTTATGTTTAGATTGTGCTATTAGGGACATGTGATGACCACGCGCCCAGGCCCGCGAGGTAGTACAGTTCGGCCAAAAGACCTAATATGACAAGACTAGCGTCTTTTCGTGCCTGGGACCGGTATATATAGTAGCGTACAGTTGGGGCCACCACGCAGGGGCGCGCCATAATAGGAGAACTGACGAAAGGGAGGAACTGGCAAAGTTGGTAAAAGCCAGGCATTTGGGTGTGAAAGGAAGTGAAGGGGATTTTCCGTACGCCGCGTACGCCGCGTCAAATGCCGATCTACTATTCTGGGTGAATGGTCTATCCAGGCATAGTCGATTCTTACTTAAGTATGAACGAGCCTTCGGACCAATGGATGCTGAGATGGCCGATCGTGTGCTTAGAATGTTTGTTCATCTAGGGATATCACTAAATATAAATTCAGACCGATTAGAATGGCCGGACAGCCGATAAAAGTTTGACGACTACTGGGACAAGATGTGCAAATCTTTGGTCATTTATCAGTAGGAAGCTAAAAGACTTCAAAATGTATTTTTAAATTGCAATGTCTATTCTCTGAGCTTTTGCTACGCAAGCAATATTCTGTAGTGGGATTTTTAGTATGCAAGGTTTACTGGCATTTACGATCGCCTACAACAGTTGCCTTCCCGGTATATATCACGCCGAGCATGGCCAAGAAAGAATTTTTCAGGAAATGGAGAACTGTTTAGAGAGGGGAGGTCAATTATATGTTTAGGCCTCCACTATCCTTTCTCCATTAAGGACCTCTGCTATTACATGGTAGAAACAGCATATGTATTATTCGCATTATGGGAAACCGCAGAGACTCTGTTCGACTACAATAGGGTGTCAATATAGACCTCGAGGGCGCTCTGTTACAATTTGGCTTCTTTAAATTGGAAAATATCAAATATCAGTATGGATAGGTAGAATTTCACTGGCCTTGAGACCTCAGTCTAACACTATAATACTAGAAGTATTCAGACGTTATTGGCTTTCTTACATCACTAATAAGAGTCGTTTGCTTTATACATTATGAATAACCACTGTAATACAGCCGCGTTAGTAACTAGGAATAGGCAAGAAAAAGAAGAACGAAGGATTCTGTATTATACAGAAGACTACCTATTCTGTATGGTTTTTTTTTTCTTTTTTTTTTTTTTTTTCAATATATTCTTTATGCTATTTAACTCTTCTAACTAGATAGAACGTTGAAGGATAATCAAATATATATATACTCTCCTAGTAGGACTCCATTTCCTCTGCTGACAAGCAAATCATAAATCTAAATTCTACTTAGTTTATCTGTATCTTTTTTTTAAAAGTATCTTTATGTATAGCGTTACATTTCCCGAGATCCTATAGGATCCTACTTGGTCTATATGCTGCTCTTGTGAAGTGTTTCGGTGTAATATCGTTGTTGATCTAACCAAAATCAAAGAGATTATCTTAAGATAAAAAGTAAGCCCTTTTTCTATAAGTTTCCCAAAAGCTTCAGTCGATTGGGATACCTAGTAATAATATCACAGGCCTAGACCTATGTGATCGGTATGGATTATTCCTAACAGAACCTCTTGAGCCATTGCGCCTTCTTATTCCAAATGGAGTATAAGACATTCAGGCGGAACAGAGGGGCTAAAGGCTATGTTTCTCGGCCAAATACCTAAATATATACCCTCTAGACACGAATTTTGCGTCTAGAAACTGGGTCCTGGGACGCTACTGTTTTGGACTGCCTCCAAGTTGCGCGAGAGAATCACCGGCTTAATGATATTACGACAGAACGCTTGGTCGAGTTTATGAACCTAGCAAATGGGGTATGCTTATTCTAAAGATGCTTTCTTCCTGACCTTGCTTCTGAGACTATCTATTGCAGGCACTGCCTGGAAGCATGGCGGACACTGGGAGATGACGATGAGAACCAATATTGTAATACCGTATTTGCTCGTTCTGCGCGGTTCTTTCGTTGGATGAGTTTAACCAAGTCACCTGCAAATATCAGGGGAAAAAAGCATTGAATGCTTGATAGCTTCAAAGGAATGGGCTAAGGTCAACAAGGTCTTGTTTCTATTGCCTGTGTCGATCACTAGAACATATGCTGGCATGCCGGGATGTGATCTGTAATACCTGTATCAAGGTTTTTGGCATTCGAAACAAACCCGCGGAATATGACTTCGACATTCAGAGGTGCCCATTGTGCGAAAAAAATTCTCCGCTTACGATTCGTTAACTGTCGCCTACGAAACGGCCACTGGTACTTAGTCGGGAGTCGGGACGGTGGCGGAGTTTATGGTAATGTTCAGCTGGGTCTCCTACGTGCACTGGAGAAACGGCTTGGGCCTAGAATGCACATACCTGATATATCTAGGGGAATAGTGCTGCCATCCCCCCCAGTGCTTAGATCCACCCTCCATGCGCCACTATTCTGCCGGTTTTATTTTTGCATATAGAACTACACCATTCGACTGCCAATTTGATACTGAGTATTACTCTCATGTATTGAATGAGCCTATGTGTTAGATAGGCCTATGCTTCATCCCTGGATTTATCGTTTGACGATGTACTTGGGTTGCAAAGGTCCACTGGTGCAATACTATTACTGAGAGCCATATTCGGAGCTTGGGAGGGTCAAAAGTGAGGGTTGAAAGTATGGGAAGTATGAGAAGACTTGGGAGTGGAAGAGATTCATGACTACCTACATGATACTACAGTAGTGACTTCTTTTTACTAAGGATTTACATACAAATCGAGGTACCATGGGTGTTGACCCTAAGTCAAGCGGGAACCGGAGTATAAAAAGCAAAGGCGGTGTAGAGGGCGGAGGGCGGGGAGGCACTACGCTAGTCCGAAAAGGGTAAGGGGGGGGGGGGGGGTGGCAGCACTAGTCCCCTAAATATATTAGGCTATGAAATTACTGTCGACTTTCATTCCCTTCTTCAGGACTAGGGCCATCGCTTAGCTTTATTTCGCAGGAGTTCCATCTAGTAGCTATTGAGGTACTTTTGCTTGATCCAGGTATTGTACTGTGTCTCCACGACGCTATATAACGGGTGTGATCCTCATCTCCAGATGTACTATTCTCTGGTTAAGTTCTCTCGAAATGCATTGGGACTCTCCCTTTCAATCAACGCTCAGTGCGATTGTTGGAAATCCTTACCATCGATCCGCATGCCAGGGTACTAGAGACAATGGAGCTCAATGCCACAACGACGTGCCGAAAAGCTCTCGTATCAATGGCTCAATTCAACTCGGCCTGTTCGATGGAGGACCGATCATTCTTCCTTCCAAAACAAGTCTTACAGGCGCAGCAAAATTTATGTTGTGTTCAGAGTGCAGGCTCGGTAGCTCCCAAGCTAAACAGTGTGCTCGGAGATGGGCTCAGAATTGGAATGCCACGCTAAGCCAAGCGAATGTCGCATCAAGCACACCGAGCCCAGGGATTGCTGAAAAGGAAATCCCCTACGACATCGGTCAGTCAAGCCATCTCCCGTGGCACCAAACCAGCGCCTTCCAATGCAGCCATACAGCAGCTCCGGCTACCTCGGAGCTCTATACCCGGACAAGAATGCGATATCAAAAAGGCATTATAGTAGACAAATAGAGTTCCAGGTGGAAGGGAAAATCGAGGCTGCAAAGTAACGGTGCTTATACTATTTATTTTTTTCACGTCCAGCTCTTTCCACAATGCTCATCACGCTAGATCAGGAACTTTCCATGCAGATCGAACTTATCCAGGATTCCATTGAATCGTTCATATCTAGTCTGCAGATATCTCTGATTCGCCCATTGTAAATATATTGAAAATAAGGGGTTTCGTTTTACTTCAAGCAAAATTCAAATCGATGTAGTTTGACCTCAAGGCGTCAACCGCACAGAAAAACCTTCATCCAGAAAGAAGGGACTGAATAAACAAACATATCTATAAAACACAGTGTATAGTATAAAGATCTCATTTCTGTATATTTCGAAATAGACGTTGGTTCTTGAGAACGGTTGATTGGCTGTTCTAAGGTTCTCGAGCATATTTCAAGTAATATAAACGATAGCATCTGCCGTAGTGGTAGATTGGAGGTGTGAGTTGCACTCACACACATTTTACATACATACAGAATATTCACATAAATGGATATACAGGGTGTGTCGAAATCAGTTTCTCCACTTTGCACTCATAGAATCTATCTCGAACCCTAGTCCGAAACACTCTTATAATCCGTTTCCGACTTAGGTTGATTTTAAGGAACGAATCGTATTGAAAGGCGTAATCACATGTTATATTGTTTACTCATTTTCTCATAATACTCTTACAGAGGTTCCGACTCCCCTGGAGGCAAGGGAATGAATGCTGTTACATACGTACTTGAGCCACACCACCTTTGCAACGTCTCGTGCGAACGTACATCCGTATTGATTTTTCCCTTTCTAACGATCAATTCAATCTGTTTAGACAACGCATACACAGAAAAGGTGATTAATTGAGTGATCAAATCAAGAAACCCATGAAGGCCTGGATCGTAATACTGTTGCAATTTATTGTGACTGCATTTTTATCTCTATCTAAAAGGCCTTATGCTTGGATGGAAAGATTGTAGTGCTTGTGGTATTGGAATACGGAGAATCATTCAATATTTTATATATACGATTGCTCTCGTTAAATATAGAGAAATCGATGAAACTTGCGTTTATTGACTGATTGTGTAAGACTTTTTGTTAGGGCGCGCCCCTGCGTGGCGGCCCTAACCATGTGTGCGCTGCTATATATACCGGTCCCAGACATGACAAGACGCTAGTCTTGTCATATTAGGTCTTTTGGCCGACACGTACGACCTCGCGTGCCTGGGCGCGTGGTCCTCACACCGCCCCCCGGTCTAAGAGTAGGTTCACAGTCTCTCGACGGCTTTCAAATGAGGCGGCCTGGAGAGCGTTGCCGTATTTGCCACCCTTTGCGTTGATATTCGCTCCCCTTTCTAAGAGCAGGGTGACAATCTTTTGATGGCCTCCGCTTGAAGCGGCATGGAGAGCGTTACTGCAGAAGCTACGGCCGCCGGACGCCCGGGCGGAGCCGCCGCTCTGCGAATTAACATCTGCCCCCTTGTCCAATAGTAGGCTGACAATCTCTTGATGGCCTCCCCCTGAGGCAGCCTGGAGAGCGTTGCCAGAGCCACCGCCGTCCTCGTTGACATCGGCTCCTTTGTCCAAGAGCAAATGAACAATCTCTAGATGGCCACATAATAACGCAGCCCGTAGAGCGTTGCCATGTTTGCCACCTTGCGCGTTGACGTCCGCTTCCATGTCTAAGAGCATTTGAACAATGTCCAGATAACCATGAAACGAGGCAACCTGGAGAGCGTTGCTGTAGCGGTCACCTCGTGCGTCGACGTCCGCTCCCTTGCGAACAAGCTCTCGTGCAGGTGCCACGAGCCCATTGAAGCAAGCATAATAGAGCCTGAAGCCTTGCGGAGGACCACACGTTTGCAAAGTGCAGATCGTCCAACTGACCTTCAAGTAACAAAGCGCGCGGCAACACGTGAATCAGCACTGGAGGATTAATAGACCTGGTGATCAAGTCCATAATTTCTTGGTACTCAGCCATCTCAGCAAGACAGTTGAGTCTGCATGTTTCCCTTCCTCGAAGGGTACGATTTGCCCGTCTCAGCCATTTCGAATTTCTGATGCCTGGAGATCGTGATGCAGTAATCATGACTAGAGGACAGACGCCGAGGGCCTCCTTTAGCCAGAATATTTCTGGAGTGAGCGCAGCTTCGGGTGGAAAAGTGTTCGCAGGGTATACGGATAATAGTAATACAACGAATACTACGGTGGGACCCACTACCACCAGCATCCTAACAAACTCCGAGGCCAAGAATGTCTGAAGCATTTGCGAGTAACGAATCCACATGAAGATTAAGATCGGATTGAGAGCGACAAGGGTGGACTTTTGAAGGACTCCTATCGCTGGGTCCTCGGTCATGACGATTTTAAGGAGTCGCAAAATGACACAGAGAGCCAGCTGCTCTGGATCAAGGGCGATCCTGGAAAGGGCAAGACGATGTTACTGTGCGGAATCATCAATGAGCTGACTGCGGCAACTGCAGAGGATACAACCACGATATCGTTCTTTTTCTGCCAGGCCGCTCTACCTGTAACGCTACGGCGGTTTTACGCGGGGTACTTTCTCTGATCCTCGATCAGCAGCCAGCCCTGATCACACATATACGAAAAGACTACGATAAAGCTGGGAAACAGCTTTTTGAGGGCGTCAATGCGTGGCACGCATTATCAGGGATCTTCACCAGTATCTTGAAAGATCCGCTCTTACAGCGCACTTATCTAATCATTGATGGACTCGACCAATGCGCCCACGGCCTACCCCTACTGCTCGATCTCGTGTCCGAAGATTCATCGGCGAATCCGAACGTCAAATGGATTGTCTCCAGTCGTAACTGGAAAGACATCAAACAGTCTTTTGATACTGCGGATGGAAAAATAAGGATTTGTCTGGAGTTGAACGAAAACTCCATCTCCGAAGCCGTGACCATCTACATTCGCCACAAGGTTCAGATATTGGCAAAGCTGAAGAAATTCGACGAGGAGCTGTTGAGAGAGCACGGGGATCGAAAGAACCGATTGAATTGATCTCTGGGGAGAGAGAAAGAAGAGAGGAGAGAAGGACTATGGAAATAGGATCTTATCTACAAACGGGGGTTGTGGCAAACATCCCTCACAACAGGAACTTCTTGAAGCGGTTCGCTGCCACTTGTTGTCTAACGCACATGGTACTTTCCTTTGGGTGGCATTGGTCTGCGACCAGCCCAAGAAAGGAAAAGCGCGAAACGCCAACAAACTGCTGAATTCCTTTCCAGCAGGGCTGGATCCCCTGTGCGAGCGGATGATGGGACATATTCAGGACTCAGAGAATGCAGAAGATGCAGAGCTTTGCAAACGTATTTTAGCCGTCGTCGCTATTGTGTACCGGCCCATTACTCTTGATGAACTACCAGCCTTGGTCGAAATACCTGATCCTGTCTCCAGAAGAGACCGAGATTTGGCAGATTTGATTGCGGACTGTGGTTCTTTTCTGAACCTCCACGGCCGTACAGTCTCTCTTGTTCACCAATCTGCAAAAGACTTTTTGCTCAAAGATGCATCAAACAAGAAGTTTTCCGTTTTCCCCCAGGTTGTCAAAGCCATACATCAGAAAATCCTTTTCCGCTCGATACAGGCCATATTCGAGACCCTTCGGCGGGATATCTACAACATCAAACATCCTGGATTTCCAATTGAACGAGTCAGAGAGCGTAATCCGGATCCATTGGCAATAGCACGATACTCGTGTGTCTATTGGGTCGACCACCTGAAGGATTGTGATTCGGATCCAAACATCGATCAGAGCCTCCAAGAAGGTGGCGCCGTGGATGTTTTTCTCCGACAGAAATATCTGCACTGGATTGAAGCCTTGAGTCTTCTTAGAAGAATTTCTGATGGCATAGCGGCGATAGCCAAGCTTGGTAGCTTACTCCAGGTAAGCGGTCAGAATTACACCGACGGATTTTAATGGCTAACAAGTAGGTGCTATAGGCCAAAAAAAGCATTTCACAGGCACTTTTGGAGCGAGTCGATGATGCGTCTCGATTTATCCGATACCATAGGGTAGCGACGGAGAGCATCCCCCTTCAAGTATACAGCTCGTCGTTAATATTTAGCCCATTCCAGAGCACAACTAAAATTTGCTATCAAACGGAGAGGCCCGGGTGGCTTGTGAATGAATCTGTGATGGCAGACGATTGGAGTGCATGCCTTCAAACTCTCAAAGGGCACAGCGGGGACGTCAATTCAGTTGCCTGGTCACCGGATGGAAGCCGACTCGCATGAGGGTCAGATGATAAGACCGTCAGGATCTGGGACCCGGTCACTGGCCAGTGCACCTCAATACGTGCTGGTAATTCTCCTGAGGGTATTTAATTTAACAAAGTCGATTTGAATCATCTGCATACTAGTGTTGGCACATTCAATCTTGAAAGTTTTGACCCTATGAAGAACTCCCTTGACCGTTCGGCTCTGCCACACCAAGCAGGCTACGGTTTAAATTATGACGGCACCTGGATAACCTACAAAGGAGAAAACCTTTCATAATTGCCATCAGAGTGTCGGCCGATCATTTTCTCAACATCAACCATATCCTCAAATATGGCAGTGGGCTGTTTTTCAGGTCGTGTCTTGATCTTCAACTTCTCCAATACATCCCCTGCACAACCTTCTCATGCCTCTTTAGCAGAAAGTAGGGCTTTTTCCCATTCAGCTGCTAGGGCAGTGTTTTCCCTGTCGATAGCAAACAGGGATGAATCGTGACCTAGCCTGAATGGGTCTAGTCTGTTCAACTATCATGTTTGCGGTGGGGCTTGACATGGTTTCTCTTTATTAAACATGGAAGCTAATTTCGAATATTGCTATAATACAGGCTTTTAGCTCAGTTCAGAATTCCTTGATCGGGTTGAGCTCTAGGGAGTAGGGTGGTAAATATATCAATTTAATACCGGCCGTAGAAAAAATCTGCCGAATACCCTCTGTGCGATGGGAAGAGGCATTATCTATGGCAAGAACATATTTCGGCTCTGGCCACCTCCCACAGTGATGTAGTAGTTGCCGAATAATCACAAACAGTTATAGAATGGCTCTAGGTCATCCTTCTCGCCACCAGCAATCATGATCTGGCTCCCCACTACAATAGCCAAGCCGTTTTGCTGGGACAAACAGAAGCTTTTTATGACCGCGCTAGTTTACAAATGAATGGACTCTATAAATCGAAGAATTGAGGGCATGAACGCCGTGTATCGTGTTTTTTTTCGTGATGTGTGTAGAATGAACGAACTTCATTTTTCAGATGCAGTACGGATTTGAACCACCCTCGCAGTTGTGACCAGCCATGCATGTAGCACGGGGGTGCCAGACAGATTTGACGCACTGCTCAAGCGCGTCACCATCGCATTGCCATGCGCTCTCCGAGCATACCGCGGAGAATGAAGTAGATTGAGTAGCTGGTGTATCGATAGTCATAGTTGTCGGAGACTCAGTCTGAGTTAGACACTGAACTAAGGGCTCCACGGCAGTAGTTTGAGACGATGTCGAATCGTAAACTGAGATAATAGCCGAGGAGCTATTATCAAAGTCATATATTTTCTCGTCGAGGATTTCCCATGAGATGGCGACGTGGCCAGCGGTACAGGCGTTCCCATCGGACAACTCGTTGAGGACAGTGTAACTGAAATCAAGGCCTGGAGCACCCTCTGCATTCCATATGTCGCTGACAGACGATCCGAGGCCACAGCGCTGGCAGCCGTCTCCGATGAAAAGCTGCAAGTCAGACTGCTGTCCATTGATAGAAACGACGACTCTCCTACCGCAGTACATGGATAGATCCATACCTAGCTGGGTGTTGTTCATCGCAACCACATAGTTGGTGTTTATCTGATCAAGAGACAGCAGGGTCGTGGGGCTGCACATTAACCCCCCCTTGTTCTGGTATTGGAACGAAGTACCGCAGCTTTCCACCTGCTCGATATCGTAATAGTAGGTGCCGAAGCCTTGACCGCTACCAATAATTGAGCGCGCAAATGTGCCGACCGTAAGGAGCAGGCTGACTGCTACCATAGGTTGGAGGCTCATTTTGGATAGAAGACAAAAAAAAAAAATCAGCTTGGCTAGCTCAAATTCAGTCGTTGAGCCGAAGTTGGCGGTTTCTTGTTGTGAAAACAGCTGGCAAAAGTGCAGATTATATTATGTAGCTCTGTATAAAGCACTTTTTAAGGCTCAATCACGGTTCGATTTAGGCTATTGTGGGCCTTTTCTTTCGTTGAGCAATATTACCTTTTGACGCATGATGATGGTGATAAGAGACATATTTTAAGAGAAGATAGAAGTAGATTCAACTTTATTCTTCCAATGTTGTTTTTTCCCTGTCAACTGCTCAAAGGCTTCTAGCCTAGAAGTAATATTCTTATGCTGGATGCTTCTTCTGGTCACCAACCATACCAAGCTTAATTCTTTGATCGGAAGTCCGATTCTAAATGGCTTAGAGGTTCTAAAGTTATTGTTGCCATAAAGATACCATCAGAGGTGATGGCCTTTTTTCTTCTCTTTCCTCTCCTTTTTTCGGGTCTTTTTGGCTGGAAATATTAGGTATGGTGGTGTCCACCAGCCGAAAAATGTCCGCAGGTTACCCGACAATACATAGTCAAAGACTGTGCCGTCACCTGGCCTCACTAACAGCAATGACGCGGAGTTCCATCACCAGAGCCTCGTATATGTGGGAACTGGGTTTCGGCTCTGGCGCCTATGGTGTTGCCAGCGTGAGTTAGCGCATATATCAAGCTCGTCTCATGGCCCTTCTTGATATCGGCATTCTGTATGTATCTAAGATTCCAAATCTTATCGTAGCGTTTGAAGTCTGGTGGGCTTTGTTTGACTTATTCGAGAAAACATTGGAACGCATCTTCTGTTCCTTGTTAGAGGCTTCTACCGGATCTGAAGGCTTTTTGAGAACATATTTAAGTTTCGCACAGGCAAGCAAAACTTTCTCTAAAATGCTCCTTGGCTCTTTCGGTAGACTATTTAACTAGGACAGTTGCGAGGTGGTTAGATATGTAAATTCATTCACCAACTTGACACATAAAGATTGTTCAGGGCAGTGAATTCATAATAAACTGGTCTCTAGCTAGATACTGTTATATTAACCAAATTTTTATCCGTTTGGCATCGCCAATTAGGGACTATATATCAATACCTTTGTAGAAACTCTTAATAAGAATTACTTATATAACAGACGTCCTCAATAACTATCCAAGTTCCTTATTTACATCATAAACTTTACACGGCTATTGAATATCTGAAATTTTCGACTCCTACTTAGGTATATCTCGCTAGTAAAATTGAATTTTCAAAAACCCGCAGAACCTATTACAACAATATCAAATCTGTCGGATTTATACATCTGATTAATATACAAGCAGATAAAACATAAAATAACCATTGTAGTTCTTCAACATAACCAATATATAAAAACATACTCCAACAAAATAACTGTATCGATGACCTTGCTCTTCAAGCCACACTCTCTAGCTGCCAGTAAAAGATAGCAAGACTACATTTCTTGCAGGGCTTAGTTAGAGCTTCGTACATAGTGTTCTTATTTGCTTTCTCTCACTTTCCTCTAATTAGTTTTACCAACATAGGGGATTTATATAATTCGCGTGCCTCATATTTTATTTTTATAGATTATAATTAAAGTCTTTGCAATATCTGTGGAATATTCTCAAGAGATTTGATATTTGATTTGACAAATAAGCCCTACAATCTTTAATATTAGTTCTCTATAACAACTACTTAAATAGGTTGTGTTTGATAATTACCTAAGTAGATCATATATCTATAATATATACTACAATATTTATTTCAAATGTTATTATATAAGTAATAGATTCAATTGTACTTGAAGCTTTTCAATTATTTATAATTGTTTATAATTGTTTATAATTGTTTATAATTGTTTATAATTGTTTATAATTGTTTATAATTGTTTATAATTGTTTATATATTTTATTTTCCCAAGAAGGCTACCACAATCACAGGGGTCGGTTGTCAAAAAGCTGGAAATATATTTCCTAGACTGAAGAATTTCCTCGCTTGTCCTGAAGTCAGTACATATTTTTCCTGCAGACCAATCTCTACTTCGTACTGTCACCTACCCCAAAGTTATCGAATTGCCCCCGTTATATCTCGTCACATTTCAAATCTTCGTTCAAACCTTCGTACATGAAATTAATAGTATGCATCAACGACAATCGTGTTATCAAAGTCCCGGACAGATGATGGTAGGGTAATCAACCACAACACGAATAACATCAACGATTCCCATCTAGCCAGACCAGCCCAGCTTAACGATCAGACGAACGGGTCCAGCAGATTGGGCAACAGCCTTATCATTCTTGCCTTGGTCAGCAGATGTGTAGGCGTGAACAACAGCCCCAGCACCCTGGGTAATGGAAGAGCACTTTCCACCATCGCGGTTGCAAATTTGCATACCGGCGATGTTCATGTTAGCAAGCTCGGCAATAATGCATGAAACATCCCAGCCAGAGAACCCATCGTTCTGGGAGTTGCTCATGTCAAACTCTCCCCAGGTGGAGGCGTACTCGCCGACGTAGTTGACGGGCAGTTCGTCGCCTTCAGCGGCGCCCCATCCACCCTGCGAGTTATTGTCGATGGCGACAAAGATGCTTTGGCCCGGGTTGATGCTGAAGCTGAGAGCTTTGTTGGGACTCCAAAAACCGTTTAGACCACCACTAGGACCATATGAATTCCACACCACCACATACCACGCCTTGGAGTTTTCATTCTCAAAGCGGATCACGTGCTTATACTGACTAGCCTTGTCTTCTCTGATTTCAATGATGTTGCTACCCCAGGGGCTGCCAACGTTGCCGATATAGTCCCAGTCTTGAGAACCGACACGCTTGCCAGTGGTCGAGGAGCCGAATCCATCGATCACATACTCACCGCTAGAGGGGTAGTCGGCCCAGTTGCTGAAGCTTGGAGAGGCCGAGCTGGAGGCAAACGGGACAAGACTCACGGATGAGGTGACATCCTCTTTGTGGGTCGCTACCGTGACTGGAGTGACACTCGAGCCTGGATTCGCGCTGAGTTCGGCATCAGAGGACACGGAAGAGTGCTGCCCGGGCCACTCATTGATCCAGGAAACCATCTGGCCGTTGATGGTAGCGATGACTTCAGTGCCAATGCTACGCTTCTCAGGAGCCTCAGAGACAGTAGGCAGGGTAAGCTGGTCATTACTGAGACCGGGATCAAATACAACTGTCAAATGGGCGTGGCCAGTGTCATAACTGTCGACACAAGCGACAGTCATAAAGAGCACAGCAATCAATATATGCATCGCCTTCTCTTTTTTTCGTGGGAAATTTTTGAGAACAGGTGACTTGGTCGATGTTTTCAAATGGAGATTCAACGGCAATTTATCTGGTAAACACGAAAAATATAGGTAGTTTGTTGAGCAGTAACAGTAATTCACGACACAGACAGCCGTAATATTTCAGGGGTCATATTGTTATATACTATATACAAACGTCCACACCAAACTCTTGGAATTTTCCCAGAGCGTGTTTATTAATACGGTTGCGGAAAGATACATGCGTTGCGTTCCCGGCTTCGAGCACTATGCTTCAGTAAGCTTAAATCACTATGCAATATATGGGTCTGAATTTACTCTGAATTTACTCTGTTAGATTGACGGATACTGATATGTGTGATTGTTGTTCTACTCTATATCTTGCTGTTGCAGTGTTGTTAGATCTTAGGAGTCGTTCCTAGCGTGTTGTAATGCTGGTATCCCGATTATTCTCCATTTGCCATGCAAAGACAAGAGAGAATGGGCTACTACTTGATAAATAGCCATGCCCTTAGTGGCCACATACCACCTATCCGTTTGACATATTCTTTCGACGCCTAGACTAGCATGATTTACCGAATAATGCAAGTCCAAAGACCTTCTATGCATAATGTAACGGATTTGTGTATCAGGTCTTTGGATGACACATCCCTTACTCAATTGCTGCAAGTCAAGAATGTTCTGTGTGTACGTTATATATCGCCGAAAGAAAATTCATGGAGAGAATGCAGAAGAGTTTCGCCTAGAACGCTGGGACAAGGATTTGCCCGAATATACCGAAACATAAGACTATCTACCTTTGAGTGAGAATCCCTGAATCTGTTCAGGTTGTAAGTGGACTTCTTTTTTTTAATCTATCGATGAATCGTTAATTTTGTCTGTTTAGAAACAAGTCTAGTTACTAAAATAGAGGATGAATCCAAATAATTCAAAATATTATCAAGAGCTTTTGAACTTTTCCTTTGATATTATAATACTATATATTATTTTTGTAGAAGGTGTCAAAAAATATATTATATAATAGATCTTAAAATTACAATACTATTGTTAAATAGAACAAACAAATGTGATACTCCTAGGCCTCGACACGACCCGCGGGTTACCCGTCGCGGGGCGGTTCTGAAAGTTGGAACCGCGGCGGGTTTTGTCGAGGTCTAGATACTTCTGTAGATCATCTGAGTATTTGCAAATTTGAGAATATCGACATTCCGGACTTTAAGTTTATTATTGATATTCTCAAACGCTATTGTCTGGCTATATCAATAAAGATTATAGAAAGGCTAACAGAAAGTTTAACAAAGCTTATTAGTCAATTTAATACATCAGTTTAACTGTCTATAAAATTGACAACAGAAAAATCGATTAATCTATTTTCAAGTAAATTTTTTATTGTTAAAAATAAATTCTTTTATATTCAAGTGTTTATGGTAAGGCGCTCCTCTGCGTGGCGGCCCTAACCGTGGTGCGCTACTATATATACCGGTCCCAGGCTGCCAGGCATGACTAGCGTCTTGTCATACTTAATTAGGTCTTTTGGCCGACACGTACGACCTCGCGTGCCTCGGCGCGTGGTCCTCACAATATAGGGAACTATATGTATCGGCTAAAAGACCTAATATTGTTGAATAGGCAAATATTTGCTCAGTATATAAATGCTTCCAATAAACTAAATAAAAAAGAAGTGATAGAATAGTAGATTCAAAGTATGAAAAGATTGTATTGCATGTTTGTTCTCTATCGGAAAATAGACTCTATTTATGTTTCTCAGTGGGAAACTGATAGAATTCATGTAAGGGGTGCGGTTTGGGGCGCGCCTCTCCACGTAGGCCAAATACCACTATAATCCCGCGAACGCGGGATTATCCCAAACTCCGCCTTATATACCAACATACCAGACTATGCGCCCGGGGGCTGCACCTGGGCTACACCCTTAGGCTGCCAACCCCTTACAATTCACTTGAATAGTGAACTCTGACAAGATTTGAATAAGGGCTGGCAGGTAATCACCAGTTGGCAGCCTATATTAGAATAATATGCTGTTATACTACTATGTAATAGTAGAACGTATGCACAGAACTAGCATAATTACACCGCTCCTTTGTCAACAGAAGCATATAGTTTCGTTAATTGAAGCTGCTTCGAGGCTAAATGGATCCTTGAAACCAAATTTCTAAGAATTCCTGCTGAGACACTATATAGTGTAAAATCAGGAAGGAATTTAACATTCTTAATAATAGTTAAATATAAATGAATTTTTCATTTAGAACCAATGAGAAGCTAACGGATTTGAATTGAGTAAAATAGCTTAAGTAATGTATGTTTTACTATATTAGTATAACTGTATAAGAAATATACAAAAAAACAAGGATTTGTATTTCGCTTATATGGATCCTCGCAGCAACATCACAGCCCAGAAGCTTTAGCGCACTACTGAAAGAGCTCTGTACTCTTTCGTTAGAATAGAGACTTGTACCGAATGATCCATTACTATACTGACGCAACAATCAGCCATACTCCGCAGTCCAGTTCCCGGAATGCGCTGTAACAATGATTCGAGGAACGTTTGTTATTCAAATGCAAGCCATTTTCGATATGTACTAACATTAGACACTCTGTGAATCTTCACGGTATAGTCCCGTTACATTCGACATTGTCAATCTGAGAGGTGACATTTGACCACTAAGGACATGGCAAAGACAGGCAATATGTAGATATCAAACTAGCAGCAAGTTGTTAAAAAATGAGGTGTGCATTTGAAAAAAGCAGAGGGCAAAGACAACAGGAACACGTTAACTTTGATCTCAGCAACAATAGTTTGCGGAGAGGATTCTCAGTTAAGCAGAATTCAAAGTTCGCTGTTTTGTTGCTCTCATATCTCAACAGGAGACTCAAAATTGCGATTCTAAATGAAAGCCCCCCCCCCCCAAATTTGACGGATACTATTTCGACCGACATAAATAGCAACACGGTCACCCCCGTCAATGCGATAATGTTTAATCTTCATTTGAGATAGCATGTATTCTGCATCAGAGATAGAACGGCGAATTCAAACCCTCCATGCCGAGAGAAATCATCTCAAACTAACAATCGCCATGTTAGACTCTTACCAAGAACATCTTGAGGCCGTCGAAAGGGTTTGGGTGCGACTGGGGAATCTGTCTACCCGATTTATCAGAGCAAAGCCTTGTTGAGTGTAAAGTTGAATCTACGTCTTGGATTGCAGTCTACAATCCTGAAGTTCCCAATGGACCACGCACCATGTATTCGATTCAAACAGGACTTGTTTCTGTGGAACATCTATTCAACAAAACGGACAAATTATGGAAAAATGAACTGGTTTCAAAGTGAAAGGCTGTATCGGCCATTCTACAAAAGAATTTGAATCCCTCTTTGCCCTTTCCCGATTTAATTTGGGGGACTCTGTAGGTAAATAAATACTCGTAGCTATATCGATACCTGCGACACTTGAATGTGGGTTGTCATTCAGTTACATTTACGTGGCAGCTTTAAACTCAATGATCTCATAAGCTTACAACCCCCCAAAAGCCCAACTCATAGACCTGTTGAGACTCTGGTTGATATGAGTATGTATGTGACACGCAGAACTATGCAGGCTACTTGTTCTAGTGGGAGATCTGTGTGTGGTGGAGAAATTTGGTCTCATTGATCAGTGGTGCACTCCTAGATAATGACCGCAGGGCGTTATATCTATGCCCGGTGTCAAATACAGAATGGGGCCCCTCTCAACTCCAAGATGTACACAATGATATCGAAATAGGGGCTGATTGCACTGCCCATGCCCAAGCCGACTACCACTTCTCCTACCGGCCAATCTGCGCTGTCGGACCGCCATCGCTCTCCTCTCTCTTCACTGCATGATAAATGAAAGAATGCTATTTTCACAGACCAGCCGATATGGAAGGCGATCGCGGGCGTCACTATGGTGCTGAATTTGGCTTCCTGTTGAGACTCACTTTCTCAACTCTAAGTCTGCACGATGAAAAAAACCCTGTATAATTCTCGTCGGGAGAAAAGCATTGGACCCTTGATCGGATTTGACTTCATCATATACAGCGTCTGAGCCTATGTACAGTAAGTCATTTATCGGCACCCAGGCTCAGTCAATCTATAGATACTATAGTATTTACAGAAATTGACCGACCATGTGCTCAGAGATATGATTGGAATCTATTTGGAGAGATAAATTGATGTTCTATTTTTGAATATATATATCTTGATAAATTCGTGCCTATTTTCTATGGTGTTGAAGATCCGCTAATGAACATACACAAACGGGCTTAACAAAGTGATCCTGAAGTCCTTCCCAGAGTTCGCTTTGATGCAAATCTCCACATCATGATCACATTTCAAACTTAGCCTTGATTTAATTCTGGGGTACAGATTCCCTACAACTATCTCATATTGTAGATATATAGCTCTTCATAAAGTACTGGGATACTTCTTGCGTATGCCATCTCGTCGGATTAATTTCAATGCCGCCACGAAGATCTGCAAGACTTAATGGATTTGGACCTGAAGCCGGGTACCCTCGGAACGATAATAAATATTCGAACCCCAAGGCCCGTGGAGATTCTTTTTCACCAGAGCTGACCGGAGCAGTCATCAAAGCAGACAGTAGATCTAGTGGCTGGGTAGTGCCTACGTTGAATCAAGCACTTGAGCGGACCTTTGGTGAACCGTCCTCCGATAGAATGTCCTCCCCTTCAACCGGCACGCATGATAAAGACAAAGTATATCATCCTAATGAGATTGGATCTTTATCCAGTGATCAAGGAAAAAGGGCTGTGGGCTCCTCTGCCATGACTCCAAATGGTAATTTCTCCCGTGGCAACCGCCAGAGCTCTCCAAAAAACTTGGATAGGCGCAGGGGCTCCATAGGCATACCTGAATCAACGCACCCGGACGCTCAACGCGAAAGCGCGGACCTTCTTCAAGACCTCAGAGATATCCAGGGTGTTCTCATGTCC